AGGTTGTGATAAAATTAATTGCAATTGTGCGGTGCTGAAGATTATTACCTCTCCCATGTAATTTTCAGTTGCTCTGCAGTGAGATTACCTACGAGAGAGAAAAAAAAGATGACAGATTTCCATTCCTCAATTCCTGAATCAATCAGGACTCCGTAATACATTCTGTTCATAGCTCAGACCTAAATCCGGCTGTGTGACAGAAAGGAGAAAATGTCATTGTAAATATGTGAGAGTGGAAAACCCAAAGCTGCATTTCTGGCCTAGGCTGTAGACAAATGTTTGCAGATGGAGACCAGCATCGTGTCATTACTGAGCAGGTTTGTGAGGATTTGTCAGCTCGGAGGCTTTCCTCTTTTCTATGGTCTTACTTCCTCGCTGAGGCTTTCACTTGCTCCTGAGTGGCTGCTAATGGCCCCTTTAGCCTAGCCCTGTCTGCTGTCAATAGCTTTGTATGCGGAGTTTCCTTGCTTTGGGCTTTCAATTACTAAACGCTGTAGAGAGAAGAACTGGTTGATTGGTAAAGCTGCCGGTTGCAGAGGATCGCTTAATCCGGCATGCTTGAGTTCCAGCCCTCCCTTGGAAGAACAGCTGTTCAGCTCTCATTTAATCCCAGATGAGGCGGGAGGAGGGCAAGGCGGTTTCCTCCAAGCATGGTTGTGTTGTGCTCAAAGGTTTCTCTCCCCTATCAGCCGCACAGTTTTCTGGAAAGAGTAGGCCCAATGTGCATTGAGCTATGAAAGACCAGTTGCTTCGTGTTGTCAGAAATCAAGACAATCCTAATCTGTATCGAAATAGCTAGCGGAGCGGAGGACAAGCTGATCTCCCTTGAGAGAGATACCGTCTCCCTTGTGAGAATCCTGCCATTATTTCACTCGGCTAATGGACCGATTCCTCCTCTGTTCTCCCTTTGGTTTCCTCCTCCTGTTTGCCACCTCCTCTCAGCACATTGTATTTATTAATAGAAAGGCTTGGTGAATCACTCTTCGAGACTGCACCCACCCTCCATACATTTCTGTCATTGCCTTTCCTTTTCCTTGGCTGCCATTAAAAACACCTCCACGGCCAGGCTTTTTGGGGAAGCCTTGTACTGACCTCCAGTATGGGAACGTTTGGAATTTGTTGATGCGTCTCCTGGTATTTCCCCCCTGGAAAATGCTATGGATGTTAACATCCCATTCCATGTGAGACAGGAGCAAGGCGTTCTAGCTCAGTCTTTAGTTTTAAAGGACTAGAGATGGGGTCATGGTGGATTGTTATCTCAGAAGTAAGACCAGCTTCCTTCCTCTGAAAGTGAGAAATGTTTCAGCTATTTTTGGAACCCGTTAGTTTTGTAGCATTCGAGAAGACCTCATGTGCAAAGCAGTGGTGATTGTAGTCTCTGATAGTTTGCTTTGAAGGGTTTCACCTGGGACAATTACTGTTGGGTAGGATAAAAATCCAGCCAGTGGAATCACATCATTAAGGTTTTAGTTGGGAGAATGAAAAAGGCTGCTGTTCGACTTGAAAGTGGGTAAGAAAATGGCACCCAACCAAGATAATTTTGGGTTGTTGTAGGTTTTTCGGGCTATATGGCCATGTTCTAGAAGCATTCTCTCCTGACGTTTCACCTGCATCTATGGCAAGCATCCTCAGAGGTTGTTTAGACAGGCAAAACGTCAGGAGAGAATGCTTCTAGAACATGGTCATATAGCCCGAAAAACCTACAACAACCCAGTGATTCCAGCCATGAAAGCCTTCGACAATACAAGATAATTTTCCTGCTTCAAGGATCTTTTATTGGTAGATTGCTAATTGGGTTCTCTTTGCTTGTTTCTTTGAGGGGTAGAGTTCATAGAGAATTTTTCTCCAGCTTGATTTGGCAGCTTCTAATGTTCCAGCTCCTCTCACCTCCTGAACACACAAATGAGTGTTTACTTGGCAAGTGTTATCTTTAGCATCAGCCACTATCATCTTCGTTGGTTTTATTTTGCTGTAATATTTTGTCCGGGCTTGGCCCCATGTAAGCCGCTCCGAGTCCCCATTGGGGAGATGGTGACGGGGTATAAATAAAGATGATGATGATGATGATTATTATTATTATTATATGATTAGTGGAGCAAAACGCTTCTCTGGTGTAGCTACTCTGGATCTGAATTCAGACAGGAGGGTGGTGGTGTCCAGAAACAGCTGGAATGGTGCTCCCTAACCAAGCTGGCTTTCATTTCTTTGTCTCCCAGCTGGGCAATCTCTGTAGGTAGAGGCTACGCCAGTCTCTGGTCATAGGATAACCTTCTCTTGCATGGCAGGCTTGGAAAATCATCGCCTAAAAGTTATAATGAGTTGACCTTTAGAAGCTGGAGGACTGTAGGGCAGGAGGAATGGAGCAGCAGCATTTTAGGTTTTTGCATTTGCTCCTTGTTTGTTTACAGCAGTGGTTCTCAACCTGTGGGTCCTCAGATGTTTTGGCCTTCAACTCCCAGAAATCCTAAGAGCTGGTAAACTGGCTGGGATTTCTGGGAGTTGTAGGCAAAAACATCTGTTGACCCACAGGTTGAGAACCATTGTTTTATAGGCAAGTAGATAATAGTTGATCTTAAGAGTAGCAGAATTCTTGGCAAGGACAGAGAATGACTTGATCAAGGAAATGTGTGTTGCTTCCCTACATGAACTTTGAAGAACTAAAATTTGTTCATGCAAATGAACTGCTATTATTGGACCTTGGTTTGAGAACATAAACATGCATTGCATTTTAAAAAAATTTTGTAGCATTTCCTGTGCATTCCATCCTATACTGTGCATAGACTTGTGTTTTCTGATAAACTCCAAGAGAATCCTCCAATCAGTATACAAGATAGTTGGTGGTTACCTCAAGTTACCTCTCGCAAAAATGGAGACGCTTTGTACTTGTCATTAAAGCTGAAACATATGAGGAATTGATGTAAATTCTGTAAATTCCTAGCTGCAAATTACCCCCTGGTTAGAGAGAAAACTCAAGGAACTGGAGCAGTCAAGAGAGGTCTAAGGCAGATGCTATTAACAAGGGGTGGGGGGAATGATGATTTTTAGGTTTTGTTGGGGATTTCTTTTGCAAAGCAGCATTTGTTCTTTGCTTGCTTTTGCTATTAAGCCAGCTGGTAGTGATTCATGTATATAGAACCAGAGGCATAAATCTCTTCCTTGCTTGTGCTCACAGGATCTGCCCAGCAGCTGGGAGTTAGCAGATGTAAAGTCCCAGGCAAAATGGGTCACTGCTTTTATCAGCTGGCGTCTGGAAAGAGGGAGAGCAGGAGAATTGAGTGATCACAAGGGAGGGGAGGGGAAGTTGATTCTCTTGGTTGGAAATCTGCCATTTGCCCTTGAGGGATGGGGAAAACAACAACGATTCATAAATTTTAGCATTCATTCACCTGTTTTTGTAGTGTTCGCAAACTATCTCTTGCAATGCAAGCCTCAACTTTCAAGCTTCTGCTGATTGTTGTGTTTATGTATGTGTGTGTTTATCTATATCTATATCTATACATATACATACATATCTATCTATCTATCTATCTATCTATGTTAGAAAAAGTAAATTTTTGATGTTCTGTGAATATTGGTAGAGGAATATTCCAAAGCACAAAGTTATTTTCCTTGGCACAGGAGGCAGGAAACTGAAAGTTACATAATCCATTAGAGGAGGAAAAGGTGTAGAACAGTTATTTGTTCCTTTGACTGTATTCAAATTATCTTATCTTAGTTTTTTTTAATGCCTTTCCCTTTCTTTCTTAATTGCTTCCTTTTTCTCTTCCACCTTTAGTGTAACCACTTAGTAAGAGTTTGGCACAAGATGGGTCAAGGAAGCTCCAGTCATCTGGGAGAATGGAGCACGATTGTTGCTATGAGATCCAACTCTGACTCCTCTCTTCTGAGCAGAGACTATTAAAAATTTCCCATCCTTTGTTGTTCTCCCTCAACCTCAAGAATAATAGCTGACATAAATACCAGCTAGCAGAGCCATTGATTAGAAATTATGAGAGAAGATATCCAGAACATTTAAAGGACAACAAGTTGATTGCCCTGTTTCAGAGCAAACACACCAATGTTTATTTGTTTGAGGAAATAAACTTCTAATATATAGTAGTAGTAATTACTTATTTACTTAGGAGCTCCCCGTAGTCTGAGGATGATGGTCCTCCAAGGTTGGTGTTCTGGCGGTGGGTCCGTAGGTGGCTGTGGAGCCCTATTCTTGATCTGCATCTTCTCCCGCAGTGAAGGCATCGGTTTCCAGGTGAAAGGCGATCCCGGTCGGGGTTGGCTTGACGCGCCTTCCTGGGAACAAATCCTGGTCTCCCAGGCCCCTTCTGCATTGCCAGATAACCCAGGTTATCAAAGCAGTAATGTGGATTTTATACAGCTGGGTAGAAGGGGCCTCAGATCCTAGTCCAGCACTCAAAGATTCAAATCTTTAGTGCCGTGGTTCTCAACCTGTGGGTCCCCAGATGTTTTGGCTTTCAAATCCCAGAAATCCTAAAAGCTGGTAAACTGGATGGGATTTCTGGGGGTTGTAGGCCAAAACACCTGGTGACCCACAGGTTGAAGACCATTGCTTTAGTGTGACATGAATAGAGTCCAATACAGAAATGCAGCTGTGTTTTTGGAACCTGCAAGACGGCGTGTTTTATATTTGGATATAGAAAACTGACTCCGAAAACGTTTTGTTTTGTCCACAGACCATTTCTAAAATGTCGCCAACATCTTTGAAGATGACCTTCAGGCAGCTTAGAGAAGGGGCATCCTTGAGCCTGCAGGAAATACTCGTTATGGAGTATCGATTGAGCCAAGCATGTGTGGTAAGAAGTTTGGCATTTAGATGGTAGCTTTGGGGCCCCAAAAGAGTTTTCTCCTCCCTTCCTCTCTGATTAATAGTAATCCATTCACATATCCTGCCTTTCTTCCAGTGGGCTCAAGATGATTTATGTCTAGCATTAGGTCTCCCCTCCACTTGTGAGGGATATTGGGTTGAGTGAGTGACTGGCTGAGTTTCATGGCTCTCCAAGTCTCTGTCCAATAATAATAATAGCACAGTCTGTCTGTCTGTCTATCAGTCAATCAATCAATTATCTGTTTATTTTACACCTCCCCTGTTCCGCATCTTGGTTTTCAGAACATTTTAAAACCCATTGAAAACAGTTCAGCTCAAATCCTATTTTATGAACTTTAATTAAAATGCAATTACAAAATGATTACATTGAAAGGCATGCAGTCAAAACAATTCAAAGCACATTTAATAGACCATTTAAAAGATAAAAAAGTCATACCAACAGCACTTAGAGAATTAAAAAAAAGTTTCCTGGTTTAGGAGGATATTTGGAGTATATCCAGTGTGTGGCAATGTCTAGAGTTGTCAGAGCTAGATATGTAATTTTTAAATATAATAATTAAATAAATTAAATAAACCAGGGGAAGGAAGGTTCTCACGTGAAAGAAAATGGAAATATTGGAGGAAATGGAAGTATATGAAGTATATGAAGTATTTCTTTTTATCTAAAATCAAGTTTACTGCTGCCAAACTTTTCAGGACCCCAGCAATGAGCTAAGGGGACCCCATTTGGGCCCAGGACCCCCAGTTTAAGAAGCAGTGCCCTGGGGTGCCAACAAGCCCAAAGAGGTTCATGATGGTGGCTCCCAGGCCTTCTGTGTAGCAGCAGCAGAAGCAGGACCTCTTTTGTTCTTTCGGGCTGCAAATAGCAGCAGATTTTTTTTAAAAAAAGAAAACATATTCCTTCCATAACTATTACTTTTTGAAAAAGGAGACAAGGAATGTAAATACAAAGTCTAGCAGATGAGGCACTTATAATATTCATGAAGCTCCAGCCCACTCCCAAGAGAGTGAGACATTTTTCCTCACACCAATGCTGCCGAGCGCTAGATAATATGCTGTCATCCACACCCACAGCAATGGCTTTGTGCAGATGCATGACTTCATTGGAAGCAGCGTGTGTTGTGCAGAGAGGGTACAAACACACCAAACACTATGGCAAAGAGAAGCTGAAAACTATATTACCCATATAGCAAACTTGTAATGATTTAGAACAGCATTTCCTAGACTTTTTCCACTTGTATCCCCTTTCTTACTATAAATGTTTACGTAACCCCAGTATATAAAATAGTAGTACAATGAAACATTTACTGGTAAGATATCACCATTTGCAAGACTGTCTAAACAGGCTGATTTTCCTTTTTATGAAGCACAGCTGAAGCATCTTCTGCAGAGTAAACACTGCACAACAGATTCATCTAAACGTCTAAAACAGCCACTAGGTGACCTTCAGAAACCTTTACTGTTGCCACATTTTTGGGACTCAATTTAGGCCCCCAAAAGGGGATCCACAGTACCTTAGACTACATCTCATTAGTTACAGTTGGTCTTGGGAGTGCGATACAGAAAGAGAAAGAAAAGTGTGCCGGGGGATTCTGGTGTTACAATACATTTGTTTTTATTTTCCAGCGAGGCCATGACTTCTACGAAGGCGTCCGCGCAGGTAAAGTTAAATCCAGATATGTCTTTAAACCTCTCTATGAAATTTCTATGTTCTCCAGGACAACTCTGTGGTAACTTCTGGTGGAAAACGTTCAATGGGGTTCATACCTATCTACTGTTTCTACGATGAATTGAGGAACTTATCACCTGTGAATATAGAGATCATACTATATCTGGGCTTTCCCTATGGGTCTGCTTAGGCAGATTACCATGATGAACACCTGCATTTCAAAATTCATTATTTTTGGGGTGGTAAAGTGTGAAGTTTGCCTGTATATTACTGCTACTAATTGTAAAGGCTTGACCACTAATTTGCAATAATGTTACCAAATTGTAAGGATGTATAAATATAATTGCTACCAATATGTAGAGCGTTGGTAAAACAAGCCACCTCTGTGTGAGGACTTATTACATTGATAACACAACCAATAGCTTGTAATATGGGTTTAGTCTTTCTTCAATATGTAGCGTGACTTGACTTGGAAAGAATGGTAACACAGGCTTGACTTTAAAAGGAAACTGTAACAAGTTTATTGAGGTACAGAAGCTTGATGGTTTCAAAGTGTCCTTTCTCTTAGAGGTACAGATCTTCAAAGGTTACATTCATAAAAGTACTTAAATAACTCTTAAGAGGTCTAATTCTTCTGACAAACAGGTATCAAACTTAGTTCCTTTTAAAAAATATGTTTCTTTCTTTAACAGATTGGTTCAGGCACATGGTTATCCTTTCTTTATGATGGTTCTGTTACAATAAAGATGCTTATTAGGGTTTCCCCTCTTTTTTCCACAACCGTTACTTTTAATATAAATAAGTCACTCAACATATCTTAACTATATTGGCTCAAAGCCAAACCCTTCCTGATTCTTAATATCAAAGAATCAGTCTTCTCCTGTAGTTCTCCTGTAGGAAATCCTACAGGATTTCCACTGGTTTTCCACACACAACAGAACCAGCCACCTCTGTAGTTCACCAACCATAGACTAACTGCTCTAAAATGGCTGCTCTGTCAAGAGGCAGTTAGCTCCGCCCCTATCTCCATAGCAACTCAGCTCAAAGCAAGCTGAACTGGCTACCATCCCCCAATATCATGCAATATTATATACTTACCCATACAACCACTTATCTATAACAATACATAACTAGATAAAAATTTACACTTCATCACATAAAGGATGTATAAATAAGTACAGTTGGCCAGAGTTTTAAGCCAATGCCATTAATTATGGCATTTCACCTTCTCACAGGGAGGCATGCTTAGGAATAATTGCAGGCCCTGCTGGGAGAATTCATGAAGTTTTATTATAGCAGAATGGGATAGCAGAAATGTCATTATTGATAATATATGACTTATTATAGTGAAGAATATTAATATTTTAGAAAATAAATAAGGAAAATATGCAAGATCATTGATACAAGAGTCAGACAGAAGGCATAACCAGATTACTCAGCATGCTAAGCTACAAAGCTACGTGAAGTATTGACCAAAAACTAAATATTCAGAGCTGTTTTTAATAGTTTTGTTATTTTTTTTAATCTAGTGAATGAGCTATCATCAACTAACACTTTGTATGATGGAGGTTCACTACTCAAACTCGAATCCCATCTGATGGAAGCTGTCTCTCAAACTGGAGCATAACTCTAGTGTAGTCGTCTCAGTTTTTAGCTCCAAGAAGTGGGAATGAAACATTTAAATATTCTTTCATAACATATAGTGAATCACTTATTATAGAATCACAGCTTAGGAGCTGCAGTGGCACAGTGGGTTAAACCCTTCTGTTGTCTTGAACTGTTGACCTGAGGGTCAATGGTTTGAATCCGAGGAGTGGGGTGAGCTCCTGTCTGTCAGCTCCAGCTTCCCATGTGGGGCCACGAGAAAAGCCTCCCACAGGATGGTAAAACATCTGTTTTACTTTGTATGTTTTGTGATGTTACCTGGGAACAGCTCTTTGTCCCCTCGGGGAGATAGAGTGGTATATTATTATTATTATTATAATAACTATTATTATTATTAGGCAACGTCTCTGCAGATGGCCAGTTCTCTCACACCAGAAGCGACTTGCAGTTTCTCAAGCTACTTTTGACACAATTCTTAAAGAGTTAGAAGTATTAGAAGAGTTAGAAGGGCATCTTAATGCAAGCCCCCACCCTGCAGGAATACACAACTAAAGCATCCTTGCAAGACGCCCATCTAGTTGTGCCTTCAGATGGAGCCTCCACCATTCTCTGAAGCAATCTATTCCACTGATAAATAGCAATTAGAGTAAAACAAAGTTCTTAATGTGTCTTCTGTAGAAAATGCACAAATGGCATATAACAAGATGTACTCCAATTATTTACCCTTTAACGGCAGAAATAGAGAGATTGTGATTTTGATACTTCTCGTACAGATACTGGAAACTGAGAACATCCTTCTTTGTTTTCTTTGGTAGTTCTTATTGACAAAGACCAGTCCCCAAAATGGAAGCCAGCTGCTCTAGAAGAAGTAACCGATGAATTTTTGGACTCATGCTTTCAGTCTCTTGGAACCAGTGATCTCAAGTTACCGTAGATTTTGGACAGATGCCAGCTTCACGGATGCCAGCCTTATCGTCGCTTTCTTTCACACAATGAATTGTATGCTTACGATTTCAACATGCAAAGAGATCATCGGCATTGGGTGGAACACTTATTGCTGTTATTTAATGAAGAGGAGCTATATTTTGGAGATAAGTACAGGACTAGAGAGAGTTATTGGGGATGTCCCATAAAGGCATTCACATTTTAGGATGGGAGTCTCTGTTTGCGCATTTCTACTTCTACATGTAAAATAAAACATATTAATATAAAGACTCATATATTCTTGATATATTTTGATTCATCTATGATCACAGAAATTTAACTATACCAAATGTGGGGAGTAGTTGAGCAGTGATCGAACAAGATTTGGGAAAGTGGTTCAATGGCATGTGGTTCAAAAGAAAATTGAGCAGTGGTCTAAAAGTGAATGTTATATTGAATGTATTCTACCCACCTCTGATTACTATTTGTCGTATCAGAAGCAGACCGAGGGTACAGTTTTAATGTATTTTTTTAAAAACCCAGTGGTGCAGTGGGTTAAAGCACTGAGCTGCTGAGCTTGTTGACCGAAAGTTCGCAGGTTCGATTCCGGGGAGCGGTGTGAGCTTCCGTTGTCAGCCCTAGCTTCTGCCAACCTAGCAGTTCGAAAACATTCAAATGTGAGTAGATTAATAGGTACCGCTCTGGCGGGAAGGTAACGGCGCTCCATGCAGTCATGCCGGCCACATGACCTTGGAGGTGTCTATGGACAATGCCAGCTCTTCGGCTTAGAAATGGAGATGAGCACCAATCCCCAGAGTCAGACATGACTGGACTTAATGTCAGGGGACAACCTTTACCTTATCGTATCAGAAGCAGACCACGGGTACAGTTTTAATGTATTTTTAAAAACCACAAAGTTTAAGAACTTGGCATTATACTAAATGTCCTCGGAATGCCTCTTGTGTTACTATAAGAAGGTCCTCCATTGTGCAAGTGGCAGGGCTTAGACTGCATTACAATAGATGGTCTATAGTTTGGTCTTCCTCACACTCACATATTGTGCACTCCACTTTGTGGCCCCATTTCTTAAGGTTGCCTCTGCATCTCGTGGTGCCAGAGCATAGTCTGTTCAGCACCTTCCAAGTCGCCTAGTCTTCTGTGTGTCGAGAAGGGAGTGTCTCATTCAGTATCAGCCATGGGTTGAGATTCTGGGTATTAGCCTGCCACTTTTGGACTCTCGCTTGCTGAGGTATTCTTGCGAGTATCTCTGTAGATCTTAGAAAACTATTTCTTGATTTGAAGCATTGGCGGGCTGGCTGATATCCGAACAGGGGATGGGCCAGAGAGGTCACTGCCTTGGTCTTTTTATTATTGACTGCTATTTCCCGGCGGATGTCAGGTGTCTGATTACTATGACCTGATATAAATCAGAATTAGATTTGTAGTCATGTGGAGTCCAGCCATGAAAACCTGTGGTTGTGCTTGAACCATGACAGTGAAAGTGGTGTCAAACTGCATTAATTTTACAGCGTAGATGTACCCAGACTGATGACTTCCATAGCATATTGGAATCAGATGAAAAGGATAAGAGCTGGATACATTGTGTATTAACACAGCAGACAAGATGTAAATCTGTGAGGCTCAGGAATTGATAGCTGAGCAAATCTTTCCAGCATGACCTTGTGAGACTGCCAATAATGGTTGACTACATACAACAGAAGGTCTAATTTCAAAGTCTTGCAAGATGAAGCTATGGGGCTGTACCTGTGTTTATATAGCTGGGAACTGGCTCAGTTCTCAGTAGGCCCAACTGTGGCGCAAAGCAGAGATTTTAAGAACTCAATTGCCATCAAGATCAGCAGTGAGTCAGATGACTCTTATCTTGCTTTAAGATCTGGTGTGTGTTTTCATTTGTATTTGAATGGTATATCCTTTGCATTGGTGGTTGATGTTTAAGGCATCATGGGTTAGGGCAGGCTTGTCCAACTCTTGGCTCATGGGCTGCAAGATTGTAAGCTTACTTAAAATAGTATGAGACCTTTTTTAGTGATTTTTTTTTCATTGGTAACTCAGTTGCATGATTCTTGAGTGAAACTTTGTGACTGACTACGTAATGGAATGGAATGACAGTTTGTAACAAAACTTGAAAAATAATTGTTCTTAGTTCAAAATTAGTTTTTATGCTCCAGAAACTTCCTTTTTGTGGCAGAGGGTAGTACTTTTGTTTCCTTCAGTCTGGGTACTTGGTTTGTAATTTTCCTTAATGAAAATTTGGCATTTTTTTAACCTTTCAGTGTGCAGACCGCAACAGTTTTTGTAGTTTAATAAACTTTTTCCATGTTTTTATGATAGAACCAACCAGGAAATGACATTTATAACCCAGGAACAAAATTGTGTTACATAGTGTGATCAGAGTATATTATATCCATAATTCACGCTATAATTGCAAACAGTTCTGCCATATCAAGAAAATTATGCACAGAACTGGGGGGTGGTCATCAGCTATCGTTCGTGTTAAGTGTATTTCATGTATGACTCAAAACCGTTCTTCTTCCAATGTGACTCAGGAAAGTCAGAAGGTTGGACACTCCTGTGTTGTGGACTGCTCTTCCCGTTTTGAGGGAGAAGGAGGACAAGGGGATGAAGAAGCAACACTTGGGGATTTGGAGCTAAGTGGTGAGGAACAAGAATAGGTGGCAGATATATCACAAATCCCCACATTTCAGGAACGATGAAGGGAGAAAGAAGTCAGAAGGAGATCAGCTAGCTTAGTAGTTTAAACGCTGAGCCATCAGACCATGCTCTAGAGACAGCTAACCTGGGAGCTCAGGGCTATAAATTAGCAGCGAAGTCAAGGGCCCAGTGCTGACAGCAACTGACCTATTTCTGGGGAGTCCCTCTTCTAAGCACAGTGTCTTGTTCATCCAATACTCTAGTTTCTGTCTGATGTGAAGACTTTTGTTTTACATTTGCTTGAAGACCGTGCATTACCATCAAGACTATAAGTTCTGCATCGCTTATTGCATTATCTTTATTTTGGCTGAAGTAAAGCCTTTTTATTTACTTTCACTTGTGCCTAAGGCCGTTCCTGGTGAAAAACTGAACACCCTGGTTTATGGCATCACTAGAGACTGTTTCTTGTATCATTATTAAAGTTACATCAGCAGGGCTTATCTGTAGTGACATCATAAGAAATCCTCCCTAGATTTCATATTTTCAACCTGAAATGTCAAGGCCGGGGATAGTCCTGACTGAGCATCCATATCCTGATAGGGCTGAGAAAGGTACTTCGGCTGGTCTTTAGCACAGCTGCAATAAGATCTACCAACTGAAAGGTTGCCAGTTCAAAACCCCGGGTCAGTGTGAGCACCTGATTGTCAGCACAGCTCACTGTTTACCTAAGCAGTTCGAAAACAGCTTAGAGCTGTAAGTAGAGAAATTAGGTACCACTAAAAAGCGGGGAAGGTATTTTACAACACCATAAAAAGAAAAAAGATCAGAAAATGCCCAGCGATAAAAAGGAAAGAGGAAGTACTGATGGCTCTTTGTCATAGAGGATGGAGTGACAGAACCCCCTGTTGCTGGATTCAAGCACAACCTCTAAGGTGCCAAAAAGCTGGATGTTGACACAACATACTCCTTTCTGTCTGTCTCTGTCCTGTCTGGCCAAATGGCATTGACTGTTTGCCATGTATGTGTACTGTGATCCATCCTGAGTCCGCTTGGGGAGATAGGACGGAATATAAATAAAGTGTTATTATTATTACTATTATTATTACTTGAAATTGTAAAAAAAACCCACTTAAATCTTATTGTTAGTTCTAAGTCAAGTAAACCCATTGAATCAGATTTACCTATATGTTAATCTATATTTACCATGCGGGGACATGAAAGAAGCCTCCCACAAGGATGATAAAACATCTGGGTATTCCCTGGGCAACGTCCTTGCAGACAGCCAATTCTCTCACACCAGAAGTGACTTGCAGTTTCTCAAGTTGCTCCTGACACAAAAAATAAACCCTATATGTCAACATACCATTTAACAGTTGGGTCAGTTGATGTACTACTATAGTCTGGCCTCCACCTGCACTGGGGTTAGGGGAGCAGGAACCCCACGAAAGTCGGGGGGGGGGGAATGCAAATTTTAAAATAGCATTATTTTAATAACCTGACAAAATACTTCTCTATGAATCTCTAGATCCTCGAGTGTGACTCAAGAGATTCCTAGAGAGATCATATTAATCAAATCCATGTATAATCAAATCCTCAAAGGTTAAATCTGCCAGTGTGGATGGCTGACTGCACGTGGAACTGATAACCAGGAATTCCAATCATAAATTGTAGGATCCACCCCCCTTTACACATGTTCTTCACCCCATTATTTTGACAAATGCTTGGCTAGTCTGTGGTTTCCTGACTCTTTTGTCCAGATGTGACCATGTCCTAGAAGCAGATTCTATTGATTTTTACTAAAACTGGTTGGTCAGTGAAAACTGGCATGTCACAAGTGGTTATGGAGCTCTCTGTTCTCCTTGCTGTGCACAGAGGATTTCTATGCTTTTTATAGACAGGCTGGTCAAACCACCTTTCTTCCCCTTGTTACCATGGCAATTTATTATGTCACAATTTCGTTTTCTCCCAAGAATGTAATGTAAGTAAAAGAGACAGGGGGGAAAAATCAGTTCAGTAACACTTAATGGGAATGACCAAGCAGAAACATCAAAGAACAGTTTTGACCACAAATAACTCCTCAAAGTAGATTTCAGAATTGCAATATCCTTTAATCCCGATTTCAGTTAATGCAGAGCAGGGAGACACACACAATCTTTAGCCAAAGCAACGGCATGCTTGTTTATTGCCCAGAAGGGGACCCGCCTATGTTGTGGTCATCTCATTGCATGCTGCACTTTGGGAAATGCAAGAGTGATGCCCATTTGTTTTGCTTTCTTTCATGCTGTCCTTCTTTTCTGCTAATGTCTTTGCATCCCTGTCCTTTAAGCTTTCTTGGTCATTTCCCAGCTTGAAAGTTAAATTATTTCATCTCTTTTTCTCCCATGTTCAAAAGTGTTTTGAACGCAGGCAAAAGGCTGGGACTTTGGTTAGTTCTGACTCTAGTATGTTCAGTTGGTGAGCAATTCCTGTTTGCTGTGTGCCATAGAAAAGAATAGGAAAGGGTTAAGAGAGAGGCAATGGGCGGGGTCATGCAAATTCCACAGCAATGGAGAGAATAAGACACACTGGGATGTCTGTGCAGGAGAAAACACATAAAATCTAGAATGAAATTGTCC